TGAGATTTCAGATTGTGGCGCAATAGGGATAACGAGATTACACTTGCTGGAGTGCTGGTACTGCTAGTAGTACTGACAACTCTTGTACTGACAGTCCCAGTTTACTTCTGGACTTGTTGTGACAAATGACCGACGTTTTTCGAGGACGAAATTGCCGTTAATCGAGAATATTCAAATCTCTCTATGCCTAAATAAGAGTGTTAGAATGCTTTATAGCTGTGTGCCGCCTCCGAGTGTAAATAGCGCGTCAATGGCGTGGGTCAGATGCTTACGTAAGACGCCAGGCTGTTCCCGGCATCCCGCGTTTGTGCTGATCAGAATGCTGGAAGATACAACGAATCGATGTGACCGGGTCAAAGTCTCACTTTTGTTTGATATCGGATGTTGAGCTGATTCACTACTCGTAAGTTCCTATCGCACATCTGGAAAAAAAAATCTTTTTACCAGACCATCCCACCAAGGCTATGTGCCGTCGAGACCGGTCAGAGCGGCGTGTACCATGCGGCAGATGATGCTCAATGTCTGGACTGTAAGGTCCATGCGCCTGTAGCACTATGCCATTTAAACTAGTCTGTATGATTACGGGCCAACCGGTCTGAGATGCCCTCGAAGCTGAGTCTGGTCCCGTGCGGATGTGGGTACAGTGGGTCTGTTGTGGTAGTCCGCCCAGCTGGCCAAAAACAAACAAACGGCTTGTATTATATAAGTGCACGCGGCCGTGAGTAGTACGGCGCCGTGTTCGACGAGAACAAGTCTATAGACAGGTATGGGTTCACATAAAACAAGCTCGCCTTATCAGGAATATTCTCAGATGTCCAATCCCTGCTTATCTCTTTTCCACACTGTCTTGGCAGATGGCATACACCGACGACACGGTCGGCGGAGATGATCGTAGCATTTGGCCGGCGGTTCCGCGTCGAGCGGCTGACTTGGAACAGCTGGCTAATGCCGTCAACCCGCAGGAAAGGCGTGTACCACTCGACATACAGTAAGGGGTGCGGAAGAATGCCGTACTGGGGCGGCAACTCGAATATGACACGCACGCGTGCAAGTCGGAGGCCTATAGTAC